CACAGACGTTTTTTCTTGTGCAAAGAAACCAGCAACACTTCCAGCCTTGCGTCAGCAGTGACCTGGTGTCTGTATGTCAGACCTCACTCTACTGTGTTCTACTAGCACCTGCGTTTTGTGGCTCCTGATGTCTCCTGGTAGAGCAGGAAGCGAAGCACCGTGTGCTCCTCTGCAGTATCTGCAGGAGAGAGATGCTGCGTGCTCCAGCTACTGCAGGCAAGATCCAACCTCTTGAATGTCACGCTTATGTTTTGGCTGAGCTGCTGAAGATCTCTGTTCCAAGTGTATCTTCTAGTGTAAATTGAAATGCATGTTCCACCTACGGGAAGTTCATCCTACAGAAACCATGGAAAAGCACTTTCCTTTACTTCACAGCCAGAGTTCAGATGTCTTTCATACTGGACATGACTTTTTCAGGCTCCAGGACCTGGGTTTGCTTTTCATCACTCCTGTATGTTTTTGAGACCAACCAGCAGCTCAGCTGTCCTTTACTTCACGGGAATCTTGTGTGCCAAAGCATCTGTCCACAAGAGCCTGAGGATGATGTTTGCATGCTAAGTCCTCCGTTGGAAGTATTTTTCAAACGTTGCTGGAAAGACATTCCTGGGAAACCATCCCCTCTTCCTAGGAAAGGAAATCTCCTGGGTAGCCCCATGTGGAGGGCCAGGGTGGTTTGCTCTTTGGGCTCGGGGGAAAAAGCCTGGCCACGAGTGCTGGCTTTGCCCTGGCAAGGGTTCTCCGTGCAGGCAGAAGGGCACCCTCCTGCCACCCAGAAGATTCTTGCTTCAAGCCTCCAACTGGACCCTCCATCTCCAATCTGGGGTGGTGGATGCTCCCATGATGTGCCCTGGCCACCACGCTGAGCTGTGGCATCCATCCCCCTCCCCAGCAGGGTGCCAGCAGGCAGCAAAACTGGGTGATTTTCTGCATTTATTTCACATCGTTTGTGGAGGTTGAACAGAAGACAGTGGAGTGGACAGTGCAGAGGAAAATGCCTCTGGTAATGAGGTTACTGCTGGAAGTACTGGGTAGATCCTGAAGGAAATGGTAACGCGTCTTGTCAGCTGATAGTCCTTTTTAATTAGCCAGCATGGTGCAGTGGTCTCAGTACTACCTTTTTTTTTTTTTTTTTTAACAAAAAAACTGGAAATTACCACAAGTACAGCTGGGTGCAGAGACAAGCTCTACCTATGGACCACGCTCCCCGGTGCGGCAGTGGCCCTTGGGCTGACTAGTTATCCCCTGATAAAGAGTCATAACTTCTTAACTGCCCAAACTTGTGGGTGTGCAGAGGTTGTTTTGCTCTTAGGTGTTTGGGAATTTTTTTGGTTTTGTTTTCCTTTTTCCTTCAGATGCAGGATTGGAAGCCTCAGCAGCAGCAGAAGGCTATCCTTCTGGACCTATTTCGAACCCGAAACATTGCAACTATTACTATTATGTCATTACTTTTGTGGTAAGGAAATGTGTATTCCTAAAGTACCCAGGCAATAGAACAGTTTCTGATTTTGAGGGCACGTGCCACAGGTTTAGATAATAAGTCTCAGCCTCGGAACCCATCTACACATGGTCCTTGGCCAGTACGTGGCCCTTGGTGTCCTTGCACCCACCCTGCATTAATACCCAGGAGTATGGAGACAGTAGCCTCAACTCAGATGTAAAATAGGTAGGAAACTATATGTAACAAGTTGTGTATTTTAAATTCTGTTGCTTTTTTTAATTATTATTATTTTTTTTAAGAAGCTCCCATCTCTGTAAATCTCAATTTGAAGAGAATTGTCCTTCTTGAAGCAAACTCATTTTAACATAACAAGAAGCAGACCCATGGCCAGCGTTTTTGTTCTGTTTCTGTGCAGTGCCCATCTCAGTGAGATCCTAGTCCCTGCCTGGGCAGCTACAAGGAATGAGGACCCAATCATACCATGTAGACAAACCAGGACCCTTTTCTGTACTTATTTCCCCCAGCACAAAGGAACTGGCCAGCACACTTGGCATGCCATAAATAAGGCACTCTTGAGATTTGAGACCTGAACATCCAGCTCTCTCATGAAGATTTAAATAAGATGGAATGGAACTGCTGAGGGTGGGAGATCCTGTCACTGGAGTTGGCTACAAGTAGGAACGTAGTTGGCATGGGGATCTTTTCAAGAGTTAATTCATTAATGAGTCCATTGCAGTGAAAAGCCTTTGTGAAACGTCTTCCACAAAGCCTTTTACTTGGTGTAGTGTATGCAGGAAGGACAGAGAAATCAGAGGTCTCTTCAAGCTGCTGTGGATGTGATCACTGGAAGGGATGACAGAAATAGAAAGAGGGGGTTGCCCCTGAGATTTGGATTTTTTTTCTAAGCCACGATGCCTGTGGCGCTGCATTGTGACATCCTATTTTTCTGTAACGACAGCTGAGGCAGCACTGGAGGCGTTCAGAGACTGGTGGTTCAGGAATCATTTGGTTTTATTGCTTTTTCTCAGGTTTTTCACATCAGTTGGTTACTTTGGCCTGTCCCTCAGCACTCCAAACTGGCATGGAAATGCCTACATCAACTGTTTCCTTTCAGCTGTGATTGAAGTTCCAGCCTACGTCATCGCCTGGCTTCTCCTCCGCTCCCTCCCTCGGCGCTACTCGTTATCTGGCACCTTGTTTTTAGGGGGAGGTGTTGTGCTCTTCATTCAGCTGGTTCCTGCAGGTATGA